AAAAAAATGTCTCTTTTTAAATTGATTTGTTTTAAAGTATCTGGTTTAAGTTTTTAGTAAAACAATGTTTCTTTCTTCGGTCATATTGCTCTCATATCAGTTTCCATCTCGTGTTCTATTGGCGAAAGACCTTTTTCACAGACTTTTTTTAGTGTTACATGCATGTTTGCAATCTACTCTCTATAGAGAGAGTAAGAAGTAAATAGTCTGTAAGTAAATTAACATTAGTTAGATAATGCCCAGTGACGGTTCTCTAAGTATTACGGTAGGTCTTCTGGCCATACTCTCTTCAATCTTCTTTCGGCAAGTGGTTGGGTCAATAAATTATTTATCAGTTCGTTGTTGTGATCAGTGGTTGCGATTTTTATATTTTATTGAGTGATTCTTTATTATTATGTCCGTAAGTAATGAGATGCCCAGATCATTGTGAAGTGTTTGGTTAGATACAGACCATGGAGCTTTACTTATCATAGGGAGTATCTTAGATTGGAATGTTTAAAGTATCTTCGTATTTCAAGGTTTACCACAGCCCCATAGTTCTATTCCATATGCCCAAACCGGTATGAGTATAGTTTTGTATAGAAGCAGTTTGGTTTGATTGTAGGTTCCATTTCTTAAAGTGTCTGTTAACAGTGTTTAGATCTGCTCCTATGGTGGTTTCGGCGATTTTTATGTCTTCTTCTTGAGCACCCAGAGCCATGTCATCGGCATAAATAAATTGGCGCGAGGTGGTAGTTGGTACATCTGACGTATAAATATTAAAAAGAATAGGAGACATAACTGACCCTTGTAGTAAGCCGTTCTGCAGGACTGTTAATTATATTTACCCAGAATGTTCCCAGGATTATGCATTGCATTGAAGTTTGTTAAACTTCTACAATAATCCTGGGAAAAGTCTGCTGCCTCTAAAAACGCTTTCGACGGATTTAAAGGTACAGGAATTTATCCTGTCAATCCCAATGCAAACCCTAACCACACATCCTTTTGTAGCTGCTTAAAATGCAGGGCTCCTGGAAGAACAGAAAATACAAACAAGTACGAATGATGAAAATCGTGTCGCCATTTACAAGCTATTTCAGATATTTCACCTACGATACAACTGACTTAAATGGTGCGTAAACGTGCAAAGGAAATGGCCATTGTTTGAAAGTCGCCAGAACGTGTTAGCAAAATCAAAGAAAAAAAAAGAATGTTTTCAAAGATAAAATTTAAAATATAAAAAAAACCATTAAAAAGAAGAAAAATGAATCGTCACCAAGTAGTGAACGTGTACAAAAATAGCCAACATTTTCTAGTAGTGCATCTGAAAATAAAGATTTTAGTAAGAGTAAGTGTGTTGGTTTGTCACCTCGGGGTAAATGGAAAGGGTCTCAATCACCTTCTGTACCACCGTGTGCTCTGTAGAGGGCTTCGGAAACGTCGACGAAAGCCCCTCTACTTGAATCCATTTGCGGGTATGGATTCGTAAGTGTTTTCTTCTGGTATCTTGCCTTGAAAAGGCAAGATATTTCTTACATGACAAAGGTAAAGTCGAAATAAAAATACCAGGTGCAGTAGAATAACATCTCAGCCACAGAGTATGGGAAAGCTAAAAACAAGAAAGGCAGCGCCCCGAGAGCACTAAGCTCTCGGAGAGCCCGTGAAGGACTGAACTGATTGACCTGAAAATCGCCTATTTTTATACTTTCCGAAGTAGCGATTAGGGATTTCCAGGTCAGGGAGGGGCCAACGGGAAAAATAAGGGCGGGGCGATGCGTCTCGAACGTGAACTAGTCGCGTCCGAGAACAGGTTGTGGTGAGGATTATAATTCTACAACAAAAAAAGATGATTGGATTCGTTGTGTACTTTGTGAGTATTGGCTACAAGAGTCCTGCTCAAAAGATGTGAATCTATATCATATATGTGGAAAGATATGTTTGAAAAATGTCTGAAATGAATAGCTAAAAATCTTAAGATTTGTAGTGCAGATTTAGTTTTCTACTTAATAAAAATGTTCATTATTTTCAAAGTATTATTTATGTTTTTTAAAACTAATATCTTACTGTGGCCAACAATCCAATAGTATCTGGAAGAGATTGGAGGTGGAAGAGGTGGCCCATTGTTATTTTACTAAATCTTACGTTACTTGTATACTTATTATGTTTTGTTTATTTTATAGGCAAAATATGATCAAAAATATTTCTTCGTGGCCATCTATTTCGGACTAACCCTACATTTTCTCTTATTAAATTTTAATTTGATCGATCAGTTTAGTAATAATAAAACTTGTGACATTGCCTCTTGAGCTAAAAAGTTGGTTATTGTAATATTAAAGTAAAAAATCTTCTAATTTTATCAAGTCTCCTTTAAATTAATACTTAATTTTTTTATTGTATATTCAAAAAACATTTAGCCTAATTTAAATTAAAATAACAAATAATAAAAGATCTTTAAGCATGCGGCTATATTTGATTTTTCTTTGTCATTGTATTATATTAGATAAATCGTGTCATATAATAACTCACACATCTCGATTGGACAGATAGTAACACAGATACGTATTTAAAGCACTTTTCGCATGCTGCCATGTTTTATTTTTCTTTGTTATCGTATTCTATTCGCTAAATCCTGTCATGCCATATCGCATGATCTTGTATGTTAAGTCGTTTAGGAACTATAAGCACTGCTATTAACACTATATATTAGGCACTCGTATAATTTTTGACAATTTACCATCTAAACCCACCTCTTTATTATTTACTTATTGAGATATTATCTTTCCAATGATCCCTCATACTTCACGATCCAACCAGCCGTTCTCGAACTGAACGACGTCAGATTTGGGGGGAGTCACAGCCAATGACCCCTCATACTTCACGATCCAACCAGCCGTTCTTGAGCTGAACGACGTCAGATTGGAAGTAAGGGGAAGTCACCCATTCGGCCCAACCTATATTATAATTTAAACAAATTAAGCTTATTTCATTTGTACTGGTCGTAGAAGAAAACTTTGTCTTGACTTCAGCTATAAGAATCAAGAAGTTAAAAATGTGTTTTCTGTATAGGGAGCGCTTAGCATAGTTAATTTATAACGCAAAAGTCTCTCATACTTCAAATCAGTAAATGAGGGGTAGAACAATCTGTTGCGTAAATATTTTTATTCCTATATAAAAATATAATCTACTTAGAAGGACAATTTAGAATTAGATATCTATCTTTTTTATTTTTCTAAAATAATAAAAAAATACCGTTTCTTGCACTTAAAAAGTGGCGTAAAAAAATTATAATTAACAGTTGGAGTTGCCAACACTTAGAGGTTACTCCAGGCATTGCACTTCATAACGCTATGTTGGTTTCAAAAATTTACTAATTAATGCACGTTTTTTTTCTCTCTATATCTTGGGCTATTATAATTCCGGAAGGCTTAAGAAAGAATAAAATATTTTAATTGTAATTACGTTTATTTTGCGTTCTTGACATGTCAGAATATGGATATGAAACACCAAATTTAACTGATTTTAATGGGAGAAATAATATGGCCATAAACATAATAGGGGGAATAACCATTGAGCTGAGGTATAACACAATTTCTATATTTTTATGTACTAATATGGATACTATTAAGAAATCAAAAAATTAATATATTTACCAAGACTTTTGAATATAAGACGTATTTTTATCCCAAATAATATGAATTTACTACATGACTTACAGTACAGTGAATGAAGGTAAAAATCAACTATGACCTCTGATTTCGGTGAACCTCCATCGATTTGCTTGAAAATTTGGGATTGGGTATATTTTACCCTCAACTTCAAAAGCGACATATGCTCAACTTGCGCTTTTTGCATTTTAGGGGTGAAATCCACCCTTTTTTTTCATTTATTTGTTTATTTATTTTTCCTCTTATTTTCGTCATAAATTGCTTAATTTTGATGCTATCAACTTCTTCTAGAGGTCATTTTATAGGTATTTCTGAGTATTTTGAAAATTGTTCAATAAGTATATTTTATAAAATGCATTGTTTTCCCGTTATTTAAGCTTGAATATACAGATTTGAGTACTCGCCGAAAAAAAAAATACATTTAATTACCTATAACTCACTTTTAATTAATACTAAAAGGTTTTCAAGCAAGGAATTTATTCAATTTTTTATTATCTTCAATTTTGGTAATGACAAAAGTTATTTATGAAAAGCCGCTTTAAACATGCATTTTTTTCACGAAAAATCAAAATCTTTGATCTTCAATAACTTAAAAAGTATTGATTTATTTTAATAACTTTATAAGATCAATTTTGTTTAGATTTGGTCCCCCTATCTATTACTGGGAATATTTTTAATAAAATAATTTTCACCCCCCGAGAAGGGGTGGCATCCACCACAGGGTAAAAGCGCAAGTTGACACCATGTCACTTTTGTCTCTTAAGGTATTATTATATATTTATATTGTTCTAATTTATTTGTCTTTATTCTAATTTATTGTCTATATTCTAATTTATTAAAACTCACGATAACTAATTACTAATTTATTAAATAGCTTATTAAATACAAATTTATTTGTTACGTTTCGTTACAAGTAAATCGCGTTTCCCGATCTTCTTATGACTGACCGCCAAATAAAAAATCTTTCATTTATATACACAACTGTTGTCATCTCGAAAATTCGGCGAACTTCTTGAATAATCTCGTATTTTGGTGAAGGCGCTCGACTCGTTTTTCAACTGTTCGAAAAGCCTCGAGACGTGGATTACTCATAAAATTAGGGTCTAAAGGTTTCTGTAAACAACTTCGAATTTACTGGAACAGAAAACAGAATTAGTTATAATATATTGATAGTTATAAACGCCATAATTATCGTCACAGTATCCTCAAACTACTCACCAATTTTCATGAATCAACGAAATCGGAGTGAAAACCTTCAGTGACTGTACTATTATTTTACACCTAGTATTTATACATCAGTAATTTTCCCTTGAAAGCTTTAAGTACTGCTGCAATTAACCTTTGTCTTTGTTTCAGACGTCTTACGAAAGTCCAGTGGTTCGACATAGAAACAACAACAGTGAAATAGATCGCAATGACTCTTCCCACGAAACCGTTATGCAGTGATAAGCCGTCGTTGCCGCTGCGAGGCGCCGCCGGTGGCGTCGGAAAACGTAGGCCGGCCTGTTTGAGTGCAGCTTGGGCCGATCCCCCCATCACCCGGAGGGAGAAACGAAGAGCAATCTGTTCGTGGTCGGTAGGATACGGAACGCTTAACGAAGCAGACGAAACTTTTTCGGATAGTCAAGATCTGACCAATTATAACGAAGGTGAGAAAGTTGATATTAATATAGAACATTTATTTATTTAGCGTATGGCCTAATTACATGGAATACATACAAAAATAGTTGTAAAATGTAGGTACCGAATGTAAAATACAAACATAAGCTAATACAGTGCGTTAAGTTTTTGATTAGGTATTGCACACTATACGGAGCGCTAAAATCGGCAATGTTGCAAATGTTCGTTCTCCGACCCGAGACTATCGTGCTATCTGCACCGACAGAAAATCATTTTAGTTTAGTAACTCACAACAACGTTTGGGATGTACTTCTCTGTCGTCCGATCTCATGTTTCATTACGTATAGCCGATTTTAATAGTTGGAAATTCGATAAAAATGCACTGACCTAATCGGTGCATTGTTATCGATTTTTATTAATGTGAAAATTTTTTTGTGGTTGAATTAAAAATAAAACCGTATTTCTTAAAAAGAAAAATAAAAATATACTCTTATTGAAAATTAAAATATTATTCCTAATAAAATAAAAAATAATTCTTATGACCTACAGAAATGGTTCAAATAGTTGACCTTCTACGGCTGAACAGTACCCCAATCTGTCATAAAAAACTTCTGCGAACAGATGAAATAGTTTCTGCTATAACAGAATTGGAGACTTCTCTTATTCGATTTTTTAATTCATCCAATTTTGGGCTCTAGCCTCAGGATGATCGTAAATAATGCTTTTTAAATGTCCCCAAAAAAAGAAGTCCATGGGTGTAAGATCTGGAGATCGCGCAGGCCACTTAATATCGCCTGTTCCACTAATAACTCGATTCGGGAAAGTATTGTTTAAATACTCCCTAATAATTCGAGCGTTGTGAACTGAACAGCCGTCTTGATAAAACCAAACATTCTCCAGATTTACATCAGGAAGATTGAAAATAGCGGGAAGAACATGATTCTGTAACAAATCGAGGTATACTCTACTATTCAAGTTACCCTCAATAAAAAATGGACCTATTATGTGGTCTCCTTAAATGCCAGTCCAGACGTTAACTTTTTGAGGACGTTGAGTTCGGTAAACAACACTTCTGTGCTGGTTTTCCCGCGCCCAATACCTCGTAATGGAAGGATTGTGTCTCCCTACTAACGAAACAGAAGATTTATCAGTGAATAAAATGTTTTAATAAAAATTTGGTTCACTATTAGCCTTCGTTATTAGAGTTTCACAAAACTCCATTCTTCGAAAGTAATCGTCTGGATAAAGCTGCTGCGTTTTCGAATATTTAAAATTCTTGTAACCGTGCTTTTTCCATACTTTCGTTACAGTAACATTGCTAACATCTAACTCTCTAGCAACGTTTCTACTTGAACGAGTTTAATCTACCTCGATTATTGCACAAATCTGTGTACCTATCCCGGTATTCTCTTTCCTCAACTTTTTCTGGTAACACTTCTTGAGCGTGACATTTTCTGCAATTTTTGAGGCAATAACAACTCTCAAAATATTTAACAATATTATAAATTGACTGTATACAAGGAATTGGTCTTCCCTCAAAAAACACAGAAAATAAATCTACACACTGTTGCGCAGAATTGCCACTATAAAACCATTTTATTATTTGAGCTTTTTCCGCGGCCATATAAAAAGACATGTTTACAAAAATAAATTAAAACTCTACGCTGTTATACCTTTAAACAACTACGGTATAATGACAATATGACAAATTTGCCGACGGGCGACTAGCAACGAGGAGTCAACGAAGCAGATATGTAGTGGCAAGTCGACGACGCGCAGTGTTGCCATTTATAGAGTGTATACCTAATCCAAAACTTAACGCACTGACGCAAACATACGATAAAATACAAGATAATATAGACAAATGAAAGCTTCTTCAGAAGCTTTTTCTTCTGAATATCTTTAGATCAAGTTGGGCTATGCATTCAAGGCTTGAAGGTGTAGTTGTGAAGAAGTCTTTTGGATCTCCGTGGTATGCCCTCAATTCACATGTCTCCATTATATCTTGGATGGTTTGATCTGTAGCACCACATTCGTAACTGGAGGTAGACCGTTTTCCCCATTTATGTAGTTTGTGTGCGTCCCGTTCTAATTCGATTAAATCTCTTCTATATGTTTCGTGGCTGGTTGAAGCCATCAGGTTTTAGGACTGAGTCAATAACGTTGAATACTGCAGGTAGAGCTTCTTGAGTCCACAGCTTGCGCTAATCTGGAGGTAACATTGAAATAATCTGCTGTTAGCTGTTGGGCAGTTACTATTGGTGGTTTGGGATGTCTTCATGGATTGAGAGTTGTAAGTTACTATGTATTTTCGAATAATTTTTTATCAAGGACTTTTGTCTTCGTAGAACAGGCAGAGGTATATAGCTGAGAATGAAAAGCCAATATAGTGAAGCACCCTTAATGCAGCCGCTAATAATTATCCTCATTGCTATATTTAGCTGCGTATCCACTATCTTCACATGGCTACTACTTAGCCAGACCGGTGCACAGTACTCTAGCACAGAGTAGACCAAACTTAGCACAGATGTTCGTAGTGTGTCCGCAGATGCAGTTAGTACCACAATTAGTACCCAGTTAGTACCACAGAAATTCTAAATAAGGTTATCTCTAGTGCTTATTTTTTGTTTAGATATTTATAGATGTCATCAAGGCAGGGCATCATCGACAAAAGTTCGGTCGAACTTTTATCGACCGTCCAAATTCGATGTGTATGCGCCTAGCCTAAGGCTTCTCTTCTTCTTCAAGTGCTGTCCGTTGCGAACGTTGGCTATTAACATGAATTTTGGAGCCACGAGTGTCTTCTCCTGCCTGGCCCTCGCTTACTGTCTATTTTTCCCTGGACAATCAATTGTAGCAGACGGTACTTATCGTGTCTCAATATGTGGCCTAGATATTCAAGCTTTCTTTGTTTAATAGCCTAAGGCTAATAAATGATTTTTTGAATTTAAATGATGTTGTATGAGCACAAATGATACTGCAGTAAAAATAAAGAATTTTTTTAACGTTAATACAAAAAAACTTTATTGCAATATATCAGCTGAAAACAATGGTTATCTATTGCATTAGTGAGCTAAAAATTTTATTGTGCTCATTTATCATTCCACTGCATTCTTTAGAATGATGACAACAAAAAACATTCAAACCGATGTCATATTTTTATTTCATTTGCGATAATATATTACGTTGAGAGAATATATTACGCTTTAAAAAAATTGCGTATTTTATATTATTCTGAATAATATTTATTACATACCGGTTACGAAATTACTAGAAAGTGCATTTTATTCAAAATGACATTAATTATTATGGTTGCAATGCAAAGTATAAATAAACAAAAACGTAAAAGTTTAATATTAGTGTCATTAGTTGTATTTGAAAAATAGATGATAGTGATAAAGGGTTATTTGTTGGATAACTTAGATGCATAAAAAAACGCAACGGAGAAAATTTTGGTCAAATTCAAAGTATTTCAATTTTTTTATTTTAGTCCTATTTTGATGATTTTTTAACACACCGTGTAAAAGTTTATAAATTTTAATTTGGTATAACGAATTTTTTAATAAAATTTTGTATTTGACTTTAAAACTCCACCTAAACTCGGATTCACCAGTAGATTTCAACGTTGGGTCTTACGGACAATGTTAATCAAATGGAAGAAAACGCTGCAGCGTTGCTAGTTCATCGTCGGCCTCAACATGGCAGAGCCCGCTTCGAACTTAACACTCCCTTACACACGGAGCACTTGCAATTTTGCACTAACAGTAACTGATTTGCCCTAATGACTGTTTCAGAAAATATTCGGACGTCGTCGTAATATAGTGTTCAAAAATTGTTATTATGATTTCAAATATTTTAAAAGTTTGTTGAGATCCTAGATTCTAGATCCTAGAAAAATACAGAATTATCGAAATCAAGGATACAATATGTTCTATTTGGATGAAAGTTGGGTAAATATCGGACATACAGTAAATAAGGTATGGGTGGATTCAACCGTAACCAGTTATAAGGATGCATGTTTAAAAGGCTTGACTACTGGTCTAAATGATCTTAAACAAAGAGGTCCGAGATTTGTCTTGTTACATCTTGGATCTGATTTATTTTTCTGTTCTATATCCTAATTCCTTTACTTATTATAATTTATTTCCTATACCTACCGCAAATCTTACTACAATCATTCCTTCTGAGCCATATCTCCTCATAAATGAAAAATCCTTCCAAATATTTGGAAGAACCATGTGCCCGAATCGACACAAGATATCTTTGCCAAGAGGAAACAATAACAGAAGCAACGAAAACTGACGACTGTATCAAACAAATCCTGCAGTTGAGCACCCAAGAATCTTCTTGCCAATACACCCCCGTCCAAACTCGAGATGTTATCATACAAAGATTATAAGATGCCCACTATATAGGAATATTCCCCGAATCAAACAAAATTACAACTCGATGTTCTACTACAAAAATTTTGGGCCTAAAAAGAACTTATCTCATCAATCTTCCGCCCAGATGTGAATTCAGAACCCAATCCAGAGTTACATAAATTCAAGGACAACCATCCCAGAGGAACCGCTAATGCTTCCCAAAATCAGGACCATAGATATTGAAACAGCGATTAAATTCAAACCATTAAGGATAGATCACATCCCCTTTGACAAACTGCATGAACTCTCTAAGGAAGAACATGTAGAGACAATTAACCCGAAATTATGGAACCATAGCCATAACCATTTTTGGATGACTCCTTTATATATCTTTATTACAATATTCTGCCTCTATTTACAGGTATAAAACCAAATAAAAAAAAACCCAACTCTAGCGACGAAACTCCAGAAGAGGCCAACTCAACAGTTCTGTTCGTCCCTCACAAAACTTCTTCAGGGGATACAGTAGTTACAGTACAATGACCGCTACCATCCAGTGGATTCAACACGGGGCTACCGCTCGAACATTCTGGACTGAATTGTGACGTATTGGACTGCAAGATCAGCAATTATAAAATTATAAAAACACCATGTAAAAATCAATATTTTCAGTCTGATTTAATTTATTGTGTTGTTACTAAAATCTTTGTAAGTCGAAAATAAAAGTTTTAATTGTGAGTTCAGTTTTTAAAAAAGTGTTTTTCCCAACAACATTCATAATTCACTTAATACGTATTCGAAGCGATAAAAATTATTCTCAAAACATAGTATTAAAAATACAGGCTCGTACTAGACAAATTTAGCATGCTACAAGCTTAAGGATAGTACGATACTTGCAGTTTGTTCTATTTATAAAAATAATATCGATGCCAAATATATTGATTCTATAGTAAATTAATTGTATTATTGTCTTGTTTTCAGGAAAAGTGGCAGACCACGCCGCCCTGTTAGAACCGCGGGGTCGTCGTGTAGTGACCACGTCGATTGCAGTGCCCCATGCATCGCAACCGATCGGCCCCTCTCCGAGTGCCCCGACCATCAACAACCAGCGTCCTTCTAAATCGAGATCCGAACAACTATTCGGTATGCCCGGCATTAAGTCCTTATTGGGCACAAGGCGGCGGGCCAACGGTCTCGAAGGACCACAATCACCTTTGGTATCCAGAAAAGAAAACGGTACTTCCACCATGCCTACGGTTAGGCCGGCATCTAGTTTAGCGAGTCTTAGGAAATGTGAAACGGTGCTGGCGCTCACAGGGTACCTTAGGTGAGTTTTCATTATTACCTATTGCTTATGCGACAATTAAGAAAAAAACATCGCAGATTTATTATAATCGCATAATAAGGCAAAATTCACACATTTTATTCCATTTCTCACCTTTTTATACAGTAAATACACAACTAATTTTACACATTTTTTTTATTGGATGTCATTTTTTTTTTAAATGGAAATAAATAAATAAAGAAATAAATATGCTATAAGATTTTTCTGCGTTGTTTGTTATCAATAAAATGTTTCCGCAAAATGGCAAGGTAAAGAACATTTAATAGATTTGGTATTAAGACTACAGACTTGCGAGTGCATGTACTGAAATAGATCATATTACCTACCAAGTACCAATTGACCTACTTGTACGTTGTAAACCTTGAGGAGATTTAATTATTATCTATATAATGTTATTTTTTATTTCGATTTGTCAAAGTAATGTACATATAGAAACCTTAAAATATAATACTATTTCACTGTGTAATACTTTGTTGGATATATTTATCGTCAATTACATGAATGGCAGCTTACAGAGGTGTAGCAGGTTATTTTCATGATATATTAAAAATTAATTCTTACTTTATAATATAAATATCAAGTAATGAATCTCATTGTGTAAGCAACTAAGCAATTTAAGTATACCCAGCCTGTGAGACATGTTCACCCCTAAGAATTACGTTCGGGTGTAACAATTCATTGGAGCGAGGTGTATTAATTTGAGTTAAAAACAAGAGTCACTCTGATGCGTGATAGAGGCATAACTATCAGCCAAATGCATTTCGTGTGGAAGTCCTGGGTACAAGAACTCCCAACACGATATTCTAAACCAATCAATGCAGGTTTAATAACATGTACTCACCAACGTATTCGCCAGATCTGAACCCAATAGAGCACATTTGTAACATGCTTGGTAGAAATATTAGAGGTCGCGAAGTCGCACCAGCCTCAATTAACGAACTTGGCTTCGCTGTAGAAGAGGAATGGCAAAACATCTAGCAAGATGATATTTGCAACCTCATAGACAGCATGAGCCGACGTGTACAAACAGTTATAGAGGCTAGGGGAGGTAATACAATGTATTAAGTTATTTTTTAGTAGTTTTTCTTTGTTATTTGCGTACTTAGGTAAAGTTACATTTAAGTTGTTTTTTTTTCTATCTATTGTTATTGTTATTATTGTTATTGTTAATGTTATTGTTATTGCTCATTAAAACCAAGATCATGTCGTTGATTTAAATTATTATTTAACTACAGTACTTCTGGGATGTGGATATAATATTCCTTCTATATCAGTCACCAAAGATCCCTTCGTCGTATTACAAATTAATACAAAAGAAGGGTAATAATAGGAAAAGTTGTAAATTGTGGGTTGCAAAGTCATTTCGCTCTTAAACATGAACCAATCCATATTTTTACATGAAAAAAAAAAACATAATACGTAAAAGACATTGTTGAAACCGAGAAACAAGGTTTTACGTAAATCCGCTAACAGAGTTACTCCACAGGATGTTTCAAAGTTAGGATAAAAAACCACCTTTCGGTTAAACCCGTATAATAAGTCCAATACAAAATTCTATTAAAAAACTCACTATGCTAAATTAAAATAATCAAATTTTTACACAGTGTAATACGACGATAGGATATCTCTAATCTAAAAATCATCAAAATAGGGCTAAAAATAAAAAAACTGATATACTTTGAATTTGACCAAAATTGTCTCCGTTGCATTTTTTTGCATTTGAGTATATAACTAAAACGAAAAAGCTTAGAACAAAAATGAAGTCAAATGTCAAAGAAACAAAATGAACAGAAAAGCGATACATATGAGAAGGGAAATACAAAGAAAGGCTATTAGGAGAAATTATAAAAAGGAGATGCAACATTCTAACGTTACAATCTACACTGTACTACATTATAGTTATTATTTGCGTTTCAATCTAATTAAACTTGCTAGATAAATTCAATATCGAGTTGTCCATGAATATACAAGAGAATCTACTGTTTGCCGTTGATTAAAATTGCAAATTAGATCAATGTTGGAACTATTACAAGCTTTTTCCTACACCACATATTGCGATCCACCCACACATTAAATACACTGTCATAACTAAACTGGTAAGGACTATGTATCATGCAAATGGAAGCGAATCATAACAGGACAGTTGTAAATATATACCGAATAGGATATATGGTAATACGAAAGCAACAAACCAAACAGCAACTGTGTTAATTACAATTGTTACACGGTTGTGAGAACGTACTTGTTATAAACTGAGCCTGATGTTATTTTCGGATAACATTATTTATAAGGGAATTAATTTAATAGGATGAACATACAGTATGTCCAATTAAGTCGGCATCAGATGGGAAACTTTTTTATTATTAATTTTACGAAAATAGATATTCTTTATAAAAAGTTGTGCATGGTCTAAAACCTAAGAAGCAACCATTAGATATCAAATATTATCAATCTTATACGAGGTACCTATCAAAGAATATGAATTTCGCTCAAGAGTAAAGTACCTTTATATTTCACACTATCGAAACTTGTTATTATGGAAAGTTGTTTGGAAATAAAAATTTGTTTTTAATATGCAATTACATCAAAGTGAGCATTCAAAATCGATTGAACTCTTTCCAGCAAACATAATCTAGAATCACTATAGGTTTTTTGATGTTTTTTCTTCTCACGTTTTTCACACCACTTTGTTACCCATATACCTTTATTATTTTCTTTGTAAGTAACTTCTCCTATCTTAATTTCTTGATAACAACGTCTTTTGGCACGGATTGTATACAGTTAAGTACGTTTACGCAACTTCCAAAGAAGTAATCAGAAGTAAGTCAATGAAGAAAATGGCAAGAGATACATATGATTATAGATTCGACAAAATTAATGAAATTTTGTTTGTGAAATCGTATGACATTAGTGTTTTTTCTATGTTATCCGATTATGATACTATTGAACCACTAAATCACGCAAAATGGTGGTTCAGAGCATCAAAATCAAAAGAAAATGTAGTACGGCCAAAATTGTTTACTACAATTCTGGAATTATTTTTATAATCACTTTTCACTTCTATATATCTTGTATATGTAACTAGTTGTCACTGAAAGAAAGCTCTTAAAATTGCTTTACCGTCACGTCTTTTTTTTTCGTTTTTTATGAGGGGGTCGCCTTTCTTCATGTTCCTTCTCCAGTGTTCTCCTCACATATCTCTGAAATGCTCTCCGCCGATCTGACGACCTAAGCGTCTCCTCCACCAGTTCCGTGTAAGTAATCCAAAAGGCCGCGGTGCCCGCAATCTATCCATCTTCTCATATTAGGAATCAACGACTTCGTCCATTGCGTCACCCTTGTCATCTTGGCTTATTCCTCTTGCCATACCATTATGGACCTCTCCCTTTCTTCTATTTTTAAACGTTTTGTTGCTATGTCTTCATTTCTTCTCTCGTATATTCTTCCTCTTTCCTTCACTAGCACGTACATCGGAATACACCCGGTGATAACTTCCAACGCCTCGACAGAGACTGTTCTGTATGCACACGCCACCCTTAATAGACTCTTTCTGTCTGCTCGGTTGATCTGCTTTCTGTACGACTGTCTTTGTTAAAACTGCAGTAGTCCAGACAGCCGCAGCGTAAAGGACAATCCATTGCACAACAGAATGAAGGACTCTCCTCCCCTCAGTTTTGACCCCTTCGATGTTGGACATGATCCCTCCAACGCGGCTGATCTCACCGCAGTTCTTTTTATCACCGCATTTACGTGCTCCCCCCATTTTCCGTTTTGACGTCACCCCTAAATACTTGACGAATTTGGAACAACTCTCTTTCCTGCACATTCGAATGGTATCCCGCCTCTTTTCCTTGGTCCCTTGAGAATTATAGCCTCGGTCTTACCCGCAGTCAGTTCTAGCTCATGCATTTTCATCAATTCCTCGACTTGGTCGCATGTACGCTGTGCATCAAAGATAAGGTTCTCCCTGTCCCGCGCCACTAGCAGCATAGCGAGGTTATCCGCAAATGCGAAATGGATTACACCCTCTCCGTATTGTCAAGTCAAGTTTCCGTAATTTTCTAAATTCTGTGTATAATAATCAAGGACGTACCTTTTGTTCTGTCACTTCCGACTTAATACGTTAGAGAGAAGGATTTGGTTTGAACTAGGAAACACAAATACATCATGTTGCCGAATTTTTTACAAAATATTATATGACGTCATAATTAGGTCAAAATATAGGCAGAAGTTTTGTTTTCCGAGAAAATTTAATAATCACGGCATAAAAATCTGAATAATCTAATCAACAAACCTTTAATAACGTAAATACATAAAGTATTCCCAATCACATCCTAATCATTTGAACTGCCATAGAACAATGCTATTTTTATCATGATACAAATGTGTGATATGTACATGATAATTATGTATTGTAATACCAAAAAATTTGCTATTTAATCTCACAAATTATCAACATTAACCGTATAATGGATTAGAGATATCTATGGATGTCGCAGAATGGGAAACCAAAATGCTATTAGTTGGCATGTAAATGTTAAAATTAAAAACAAATAGGCAATCCAAGTTTGAAACTATAAGAAGTATAATACAGTGGCGCACCTAGAATTTTCCTCTGTTGGGTTTTGGTTGGGCACCGAATTTTTTTTATGCTACCTCCACCATTTTAAGTCCTTATAATTTGTGAGTAACAGTGTCGGAATGGTGCCCTGGGGGGGAATTAACCCACAAACCCCCTGGATGCGCCACTGGTATAATATGTTTGACGGGTTTGGCCATGTTGTGAGGCCTCTCCCGTAGGAAAAATGTTTCTGATTCGGTTTCTTTGCGGATTTTTGTTCAAAAACGTCCCCTTTAAACAAATCTGAAGGATGCCGGATGAAATTTTTGGACAGAAAATATTTAAACAATATTTACACAAATTTTATAAAATATCTCGGTCTATAAACCATCACCATCATGTAGCGCTACAACCCTGGGTG